AAAGAGTGTCCCTGAAGAAATAAAACTGCATTTAGCCAAGTGGTACATATTATATATATTTTAGTATTTACTCAGGCATTTGCTTAAATTCAGTATTCATTTACATATAAATTAGAGAGCAACACCAACTCATATCCAATGTGTGCTTTGTGACATGAATGTATGGAGATAAAGGCTGCAAAGGTTGTAATCATGTGCTTGCTCCCTATTCATTTTCCAGTCTTTTGTCCCTGTTTATTTTCCAGTAGGCAGTCTTCAAAGCAACCGTTACAGTGCACATCTTGTTTTCTCAGTGCTAATTCTCTCTGCCTTTGCAGTTTTTTTATCATGTGCAGATCATTGATGCTGCATTATGATAAGAGAATATAATTTTTATTCCTTAAGTAGGTTGTCAGGGAAACTTGCTACCAGGCCTATTTATATTTCTATACTGCAAGATGCTTTAGCCACTGTGTATGAAGGAACTGGGGATTCAGAGATATTTTGATTTTCTATATGTGATTAGCCTTGCTGAAAAGAAGCGCAAGCATTTGACTTGGAAAATACCATAACATTGTTCCAAAATCAAATAAGTTAATCCCGTTTTCTTTACTCTGAAAAACTGCATGCTGTTTGGAATATATGCGGTTCCTGCCCTCTTGTCTTTAGTATGGATCGTCATAGAAATAATGGATTATCATAGGGTATTGAGCAACTCTAATTGCCTATTAATCTTCAGCTTTAGAGAGAAGGCGGCTGAAGTCTATGGGCCTGTCCTACCAGATTTGGAATGCTTTGGCCTTGAACTAGAAACAGGTGTACACATGAGCTTCATAATGGTGAGGGGAGTGGTCCATATGATGGTAAGAGCTTTGCTAGGCTGGAGCCAGAATGCAAGACGTAAGCTTAAATGAGCTGAAGACTTGGAAAAAAGTATTTTGAATCAGCTGAAATTCATAGGCTGCGTTTTGCTAATGGTTAGTAGCAGAAGTACTCGTTGCGTTTATGCAAAGTCCAGACATCGATGAAAAAATTAAAAACTCATTCAATTATTTGACTGGTCAGAGTCTAATTTATAGTCCCTTGTGAGAGGGTTATTTCTTCTCCTGTCCTGAAGAGATATACAAACTCTGATTTATTAGATATGTGTCCGATGGCTCAGCTGTGAAAACTGTCCAGCAGAAATGCTCTGATACACAAAAATCTTATTGTGGTCCATCGTCTCAGCACCTACAACAGTGACATACATCACGTAGGCTTGGCTGGCCCCTGCACTGTGCCATGTGGGGTGCTCCTAGCTCAGAAGGGCTGGTAGGTAGTTTTGTGAGTATTGCAGTTGCCACATTTGTAAAGCGGCTGTGGCACAAATAAGCACTGGCGGGTGGGAATGGCTGGCCTCCTCAGAGATTGCCCACACCCCAGAGGACTTGCAGGTGTCTTGCTGTGAATGAATGAAGACAAAGCTATGAAGCTTTACCAAGTTCATAGTTACAGAGAATATCAAAGAAAAACCAGCAAAACATATATTCTTTATTGTGTATAAAAGGCTGAGTCCTCCCTAGTTTCTGCTTTCCTGAGAGGAAACTCATGCTTGCTGCCATGTACGAAATGACTTTCCAGGTTCCTCCCGCTACCTGCGAGCAGTGGAGCAGCAGCACTGAGCGGTAGGTAGGGCTGTGGCTGCCTGGCAGAACCGCGTTGTGCAGCACAGGGCTCTCGGGGATGTGCCTTCTGCAGGGCAGTGGCTGTGAGGCATGTTTTTGTTCCCTTCTGCCAAAGAACAGGTGGCCTTTAAAGATACAAATGTACCCCAAGAAACCATTTTGATAAGGGCACGACTCTGAATCCCCTGGCTTCTGTGGCTGAGGTCAGTGACAACTGGATTGGGACTTGGGTCTGGAGGCAGTGTTTCTGTTAGACACCTTCATGTTTTTTAAAGAGCTGTTTCTTCCTCCACCTCTTTCAACCTCTGGAAATCTATTGATAGATCACAGCCAGGAGTACATCTTCCCTTGCATTCTTTTCAAGCTTGGTTCATTGGCTCATGTGTGAATTTTGCCATCTTGAGTGGATATTTTTGGCTTTCCTTACCTCCCTCCCCCCTTTCTATTGAAGAAACTTCTAATTTTAATTTGGAAAAAAATCTTCAATTTTGCATGCTGACTGTCTGGGAGCATATGGATCTTTAATACCCTTCACAACATGACTATTCATATTTATAAAGTAAATTAGGAGAACTTCAAAGGAGGTGTTGCTGCTTTTTATGTCAATAACAAGTTTTATTTTCTAAACTTTTTGAGAGTGTATTTACATAACAGAAGCCTGCAACTTCCCAGGAGTTCCTGGGGCCTAATAAGACAGTGCTACATTGCTTTCCAGTTTCTGGAGGGTTTCTCCCTGTTTCAAATGCCTGTATTTTTCTGTAAGAGCCCTTGTACTGTTGGCAAGCTGTCAGTGTAGCCTTCTTGCACTGGCAAATCTCAAAGGCCTCTACAAAGCTGGCCACAGTGGAGCAATGCCACCCCCAGACAAGGTGGAGAGTTTAGGGAAAAGCTTAGCACAGACGTGATCTAAGACGACAGCAATCCTGCAGGTGTTTTACGTCACTACATACACAAAAGTATTTGGCCTGACCACTCTGTCCATCGCAGAGGTGCTGGGCTTGGGATGCCCTTTGCACAAGTTGTGGTGGCAACAGCAGTGCTGCAGACTGCATGCTGCCTGGGCCATCCATCCCCTCTCCTCCAAGCCAGCATGTGGATATGTTCTTCTTGCTGTCTCCAGCCCTGGGGGCTGCTGGATGTGCCAGCCTGAGTTTCGGGCACAGGTGATTGATCCGAAGCTGGCACGTTCCCAACAAGCTGGACAGATTTATCTGTAATGGGATAACCGTCTCTGTTTCAGCATTTCTGATGTATCTGTCACTGTAGTTCCAGGCATCGCAGGGTACAATGCTCACAGTGGTTCCTCTTTGGATAATATCTGTGGGTTGTCTTTTTTGCATCAGGGAGCAGAAAGGAAAATCCGAGACGAAGAGAGGAAGCAGAACAGGAAGAAAGGCAAAGGCCAGGCATCCCAAGCCTCGTGTAATAACTGTGAGTAAGACAGGCCTTTCTGGTTTGGGGCTAAGTCACACTTAACATGCCTCCTCTCATAACCACGTTGCTTTGTGATCCTCCTAGCAGCTGAAGGAAAGTTAAGTGCACTCCCTCTGCAAAAAAAGAGTGATATCACCTTCTTCAAAACAATGTCTGACCTGGATTCCCAGCCAGTTCTCTTCATACCGGATGTTCACTTTGGAAACCTGCAAAGAACTGGACAGGTAGGAAATGATAATGAGACAAGCTGGTGCCCACCCATTGGCTGGCCACGTGTGTGCCAAGACAGGTTTTAGGAAAATAAATCACTGTTCCTGGGGGCTGCTTGTTTCGGCTTTTGTTTTGGTAAATGCAGCTCTTGGTGAGTCACTTAAAAAAGACCTTACAAGAGACAAGTGCTTTTCCAAGCTCTGGGTACAAAAAAGGAGTTTATACTTCAGTAACAACGGACCAGTTTGTGTTTGTTATGGTTTTGCCATTCTTTTGTTAGGAAGAAAGAATGGAACAAATAGTCAAGAATTTTGAAATAGAAGGTTGATTTGTCACTGAAAGAAAGTCTGGTTTTGAATGTGCTATTTGGCTTGATGAAATGAAGTGCCACCTTGTGGTAGCAGAGATCCCCCTCCCCGTGACAACTGAAAACAAAGACGTGTAAGGAGGTCAAGAGTAGGCTCACTGAACAACGCTGCCCATTTTCTGTCAGCATCACCTAGAGATCTAGGAATTCCTTGGAAGAAAATATTTTCACTCTACAAAGAAAAAAATCTATCATGCTAATGTTAAAATTCAGTATTGGCTTAGTGCAGAAGTCATGGAGTCATTATCACCAGTAAGTGTGAGGAAGTCTTTGCTGACCTGACTCTTTTAAGACCTACCTAGTGCTTGGTGGGAAATTGCAAACCTGAATTGGAGGGTCAGCTCTGACAATTTTTTGAATATGAACCTGTTATTTATTAACATCCCAGGAAGTAGAATGAGACCTTTATGCATGTGTTTATAAAGGACAAATAGTAGATGAGGAAATTTTATATGCATCTTGCTGCAAAATATTAAAATAATGAAGATTAAATGACACTGAGTGTTGGAATTGTCATTTATTTTAAAGCAGTGAGAATTGTGGTAGAGCAAAGCACAAAGAGCACAGACATTGCAATCACAGCTGTCACTGACTTACTCTCCAAAATTGGAAAGACTCCCCCACATGTATCAGTGTTGGGTACCTTCTGTCCTCATGGCTTTCAAACCAGACTGTGTATTTGTCTCAAAACAGGAGAGGGTGGAAGCATTCCTTAGTATATGTAATCCTGTAAATAATTTTCTAAACTAATTGGAAGATACCCCAGTTTGCTAGCTTTTAGGCAGTGTTCAGCCCTGTCTTACTGCTGTATAGGTTGCAGTATTGGCATTCTTGCTATCCCAAACTTTTAAATTGTTTTGTGTATTACTTAATATAAGAATGATTTATTATGACAATAATTTATTATTTATGAATGTTTTATTATGAAAGTGTAGCCACTTTCATGTCCTGGTCATAGAATGAGTTACAGACCTCAACTTTGCACACACACACACACACACACACACACACACCTTTGAGCATTTTCATTGTACAGTTTCAGAAGTGAAACCTCCCCTTGAGAGCTGAGTGTGCTCTGAGTCTTGCCAGCACAAGTGCTGGAAACCTGCCCAAGATGCCTTTCTCTGCCTCAGCAGAACGCAGGGCTCCGGTGCCCTGCCTTCGCCCCACGCTTGCACAGTAACTCAGCAGCTGGAGTGCTGGTGCACTTGTTGTTGCGGACCTGCGGTGCAGGCACGTTGTGAGGAGTTTGGCTGACTGTTCTGTAAAGCCTTTGACAACAGACTGGGATTTTATACCTCCCCTGCTACTGTTAGCAGCATTTGCTGCTATTGTAAATTTGGTCCCAGTGACTGTGAGCTATACTGATTTACACAAAAAAACGGTCTGGATTTGCGCTTCTGCCCACAGCCTGTGCAAAAAAGTTCAGCTGTACCATTAGTAATTGTATTTCCATTATGCCTGTAGATTAATGTTGGTCTTTATAGTTTAATTAGATTTTCAGATGGTATTAAATACATACAAAAGCTTGTGAGTGTTGTGGCTTAAATCGTATTAGGGGTAATTTAGGTGAGTAGTGATCTGATTTAGAGGATTGTAAAATAATTGGGCAAATGATATAAACCAGGGGAGAGGGCAATGTCTGTCAAAATGCTTTGATGTATTTCCACTAGATGATATTCAACAGCAGTTTTTCTAAGCCTTGCTTTTTCCAGATCACAATTAGAACTAGAGATGTCTGTGTTTTGTAGAAGGAAGAGGATTTTTAACAGATGAAAAACTGCAAACTACTTGTTGTCTTTTCTCCCTTTTGAAGTTATTCTGTTAAGCAGGTGTCTGAGTTTTGGGAATAATTGGTTTTTTTCTACCCTTCTAGGTTTACTATAATACAGATGATGAGAGAGAAGGGTAAGACATTTATTGTTTCACAAGCTTTGCAGTTAGCAGTTAAAACTCATAGAAAGGAGGCACAAACCATGAAATCAGATAAAACTGATCCCCTTTCTCCCCCTTCCCTCATGTTCTCCTATCACTAACACTAGGCGAATAATATGTAGAAATGGTAGAGGAGGTTTATTTTATCATAACTTTCTTTTCCTTTATGTGAACTGGCTGCTTTTTGTATCTATTTATCACATTTCCAAGTAAAACAGTTTAAAGAGCCATAAGGTTCAATACAGGGACAGGACAATATATTTGATAATAAAGTGTCTTTTGTATATGTATATGAGGGGTTTTTTTATATATATGAGGGTTATATATATATATATATATATATGAAGGTTCTCA